GATGCCATCAGATGTGATCCAATTCACTACCATAGACTTTATAAAGTCTTGGTCTGATTAATGGGTTACCAAAATACACCCCAGAATATCTTTCAAGTTATGTGTTTTGGCAGAAAGGCATGACAAGGTGCAATGCATGAATGCATTAAAGTTGACAACCCTGTTGGGTGTGTGTGGTGGGGACTGTATCTCAGTGATGGAGGGCTTGCCTCACATGAGTCAGACTCTACTAGGTCAAATCCCCAGCACTGCAAACTAAAACAAAATCACCATTACCAGTGGGTGAGATCAGACCAGAAATTAAATTGACTGTAATCAACAATTAAAATGTGGTCAAAATCAAAGTACCACCAGGAGTGACAGGGAGGCCTTACTCTGCCTGGCAGTGGACTAGGTTTAATATTCACTGCTCTCTCATGACTCATAGCAATGGAGAGGACAAGTGCTGGCGTTAGCTTCGTTTTGCAGAAAGACACTTGAGGCTTGACCAAGGCTAGTAAGTGGGAAGTCTGAATACACAGATCTGTCTGCTTTTAGAACTTCCTCTTTTTATCATTAAAGGATGTACCTTTGCAAGTAAAATGTTTTATCTTATAAATAATGACTTTAGTAACTGAACTTAGGAGCTTTTTGGAAACCATTGGAGTGCTACAGGAAACATTGTCCCATATTTCCAGCAGGGAATCATCAAGTCCGTTCTTCACCTGGGCTTCTTTTCTTACTTTATTCGTTCACATTTGTCATTTATTTAGTATGGGGGTTAGGCACACAGAGTAAGCATGCAGACTTGTAGGAGTTTTCCAAGCCACCGTGCAAGAACTGCAAGTTGGGTGATGTTCTTGAACTCTGAACATAGTTTGCTCTAAAACCATTGTCTTGTTTCATATATCTCAGCTTGTATGTAGTCCATAGTCACTTTGTAGAATTCTGATTTTGTGTTATGGGTTCAAAAAGGCCCACACCACCACTTCTCATCCCTGTACAACCCCCTTTTATTCTGGTGTGGGGGGAGATGACTGGGAACGATAACATGGTATAGAATAATCCTGACATCCTTTGCTAAATCTCTACTTCCCAGGCTTGTTAGCAGCACTGAAAGCCCACAGGAATTCACTGTGGTTACTGAGATACGAGGGAGTCCCCTGGGGGCCCCAGGAAAGACTTTCTTCTCAGACTGCCTGCTGGGGGTACCCGCTCCTCCTTCTCTTTGCTTCTCTGCACGTGTGTTGGTGGATGTCTCTCCAACCTGGGGCCACTGGGCAACGTGACAAAATGACAGAGCCCCTGGTACAGTCCCCAGGCTGCTGAATCAAGCCTGCCACTGCAAGTTAAAGCATGCTTATAGTGATTTAAACTGCTGCTGATTTTCTTCATCTACGTTTTGGTGTTAAAGGCTTCCCTAACTCTTACGTGTCACAAATGCTTGTTAAATTTATAACATAGGCTACCAGAAGGGTGCACTTCGATTCAGTTACCCTGGTCACTACCAAAGCAAGGCTCAGTTAGAGGAAAGCTAGTCTAGATTTCACAAAGCCCTGGGTTTGAGCCTCCCAACACTGCATGAACTAGACTTGGTGGTATACAACTATAATCCCAGCACTTGGGGGAGGACAAAGGAGTATTAGAAGTTGAAGATCATATTCTGCTATAAAGTCAGGCTGGACTGCTTGAGACTGCCCCTGCCTGTCCAAAAAAAAGAAAAAAAAAGACTAAGTTACACATTCTTCAATTGGTAGGCTTTTTTTGTTTTTGCTTTTTCATGTTTCTGGGTAGAACAGGTCATTCCTAAATATGCTTAGAACAAGCCTTCTTCTTCTTCTTCTTCTTCTTCTTCTTCTTCTTCTTCTTCTTCTTCTTCTTCTTCTTCTTCTCTCTCTTTCTTTTTTTTTGTGGGGGTCTCGAGACAGGGTCTCTTTGTGTAGCTTTGTAGACCAGGCTGGCCTCAAACACACAGAGATCTGCCTGCCTCTGCCTCCAGAGTGCTGGGATTAAAGGTGTGCACCACCACCACCTGGCCCCAAACAAACCCTCTCTTCTGATATTGAGTTCGCAGCCCAGGATCACCTGTAACATCTTAGGGCTCCTGAGTTGGAAAAGGCTGACAAGATAAGCTCCCATCTTTCCACCTTGTGTCACAAGCTTCCCTCTCCGTAGAGATCGTGCAGAACCTGGTGAGCTGGCGGATCACACAGGGATCTGCTCTGAGGCAGACATTTGTCAGGGTGCTCATTAAGGGAACCCAAATATGCTCCGAACACCCTTCCCGAAGGCTTCGCTTGAAGAGCAAATGTGAGGCAATTGCAGACACAATGCCTGAGATTGCTCAACATCTGGCTTAATTAAAGCTGCCAGGACACCACTGCCTGGCGCTCCAGGCCCAGAACTGCATGGCAGGAAATGGATGGGTGGAAAGCCAGGATGATGAAAGGGTGAGGACACATGTGGCTTCGTTCACCCCTGGGAGGGGCTCCTATGAGTCCCCAGTGACGGCAAATTGGAGGATAATGTTGGAGCTAAATGACACAGCACCTGCTTAGACATGAGTGTTCTCAGAAAACACTTGAGCAAACGGCCTTCCCTTCCTATCTCCTAGTGTAGGGATGACATCCTTCCCACAATCACTTCTTTTCTGTTGTGAGTTTTCAGACGTAAGAACTCCATCGCATGCTGTCTGGAGGAGAGAAATTATAATGAAGCCTTTCATCCCGGCTGGGCATGGTAGCTCATGCCTCTTATCCCACAACTGAATCTGGAAGATGCAGAGTTAGCCTGGGCGACATAGTAAGTTGTGGACCAGCCTGGACTTAATATGTAGCAAGATACTGCCTTGAAAATAGGACACAAAAAATCTCCCTATTGTAGGACCTAGTAGGTGAACAGACATTCCCTTCTTATATCCGATTAATGAGTTCAAAGAACTGATTGTTTAGGAGGCAGTTAGCATAGTCTACTCATGGTACACACACACACACACACACACACACAAAGACAGGAATACAAACAAGTTGAAAGACTACCAGAGATTTCTTTTTTCCTACTTGATTTGTTTGTGTGGCTCTTGAGAACCCTTGAATTATTCAGAGGAGGGAATATTGTTCATGTGAAAATTTAGGAGTTATATTGTAAGGGGAAGGATTTTCCCCTATGCCTTTAGGTTCTGTGTGTGAGGCCTGAGAATTACAATGACCAAAGCAGACAAACAGCAAACAAACACACAACAAAACAGACAAAAACTTGTATATGTTTTGTGAATAGTTTTATGTGATCATGGAGGTTTTATAGCAAAAGAAATGAAGTCCCCAGGAAGCAGATGGGGCTTCTGTAGTGTAACACACAAGGATGAATTCATGAGATTGACAAGATGAAGGAAATAGGGGTCTGGTGTGGGCCAGTAAGTATGGGAGAGGATTAGAAAATAGATGGGTAACCTATGGAAGGTAAGGTTATTTCAGTAGGTGTGTTTCACAGACTCATGTCAATGTTGACTCTCCATATCCGGGAATAAGAATATCCTCCTCTTCCTGGTATAGGAGGGCATCTTTTTCATTAAAGATTTTTTCTCTTTACTTAGAAGGCAGAGGTCAAAAGAGCCCTTCAAGCAAGTGTCGTGTCTTTACTGCCTTCATTTCAAAACAACTAATATTCCAAAGTGCCAGCCATGCACTATAGCCTCCTTGAGTGCAAATCAGGCTGCATTTTTGTGTTAGCTTACCCCAGATTGCAAAAACTTCGCCTAGATTTTACAAGCTGCAATACTGAATTCCGCTCACAATCCCAACCCCTTCTTTATTGTGCCATGTAACAAAGGGGAAGGGTGATGTCTCTGATCTTGTTTTGTCTGAGGTTCAGTCTCAGTCCTTGATAGCAGAGATTTGTAACAGAACCAGGAGGCTCAGTGGCATGTGGAAAAAAAGCTAAATATTACTTAAATTGTTTTTCACCATTTTGATTTGGGGAATATATTTGCTTAAAATCAGTAAGTTTCTAGGCCACATTCACGTATCTGATGGAAAATAACATCTTTCTAAAGACAGGCCCAGGAGGTGGGTATAGTAGTGTACACTTGTAATCCTAGTACTCCAGAGGCTGAGGCAGGAGGATAGTGAATTCTAGGCCAACCTGGGCTACATTGCAAGTTCTCAGGCTGGCCTGAATTACATAGTGAGTTCCTGGTCAGCCTCAGTTACAAGCTGCAACCCTGTCTCAAAAATAAAATAAACAGCATGGTAGTTTGAATTAAGAATGGACTTCCATAGGTTCATATGTTTGAATGCTTGGTTTATAGTTATTAGAACTGTTTGGGAAGGATTATAAAGCGTCGCCTTGTTGGAGAAGGTGTGCTGCTGGGAGTGAACTCAAGATTTCAAAAGCCTACACCAACCCCAGTTTCTCTTTCTCTATCTGCCCATCTATCTACCCATGCATCCATCCATCCATCCATCCACCCACCCACCCACCCATCTACCCATCCATCCATCCACCCATGCACCCACCCACCCATCCACCCACCCATCCATCCATCCATCCACCCACCCACCCACCCATACATCCACTCACCCATCCATCCAGCCATCCATCCATCCATCCATCCATCCACATCCATCTACCACCCACCCATCTCTGCCTACAACTTTCAGATTGGATGGATGTTCTCCCAGTGCCATGCTTGCCTGCCTACTGCCATGCTCTTGCCATGATGACCTTAGACCAACCCCTGTAGCTGTAAGAAAGCCCCCATTTAAATGATTTCTTTGATAAGTTGCCTTGGTCATGATGTTTCATCACAACAATGAACAGTAAGTTAGTCAGACAGGCGTAGAACTTCTAACCAACCCAATCAACTTTTCTTTATTTGGAAGCAGGGCTGTTTCATACCCATTTACTAGGCCACCATTAACAGGTTTAGCCAAAGTAATAAGTGTGGATTACCCAAGGTGGAAACCAATCAATGTACCCACTGCTATGTACCATTTTGCAACTCAAATCATCCCTCCCCTCAGGCTACCTTTTAGCTGATCCTGCCCTGTCAAAAATGGCAGAGAAGCAGCAAGTTCGACATTTGTTGGTTCATGTCAAAGGTGACTCCATCTCTGAAGCTGGTAAGTCTTCCTTCTGGTGGTATTAAAACTCACTGACTTTCCCAAGACAGTGTCTTGTGCTTCATGACTTTCTATCTGGAGCCCCAGGGGGGCCCTCAGCAGCTTGAACCCCCTCCCAGCTTCCTTCCTCTGCCGTGGTGGGAGGCATGGCAGCTTGAGCCCCCCAGCTTCCTCTGCCGTGGTGGGAGGCATGGCAACTTTACTCCTCTCACTGGGTTCTACCGTCCTTGGTCCACTTGTGACTCCTGGCCTGGGTGAATGTTTTTTATGTTTGCACCATTTCCTAACAAGAGGAGTTTGCTGGAAATAACAGTGTTATTCCAAAGCAATTAGGGGGAGGTAATAGAAATAAAACAAACCAGAAAAAACTAGGAAAAGCCATTATGCAAATGTGTGGCTATTCACAGTAACTCAGAACCATCTGCCTTGAAGAAATAAAGTCAGATGAGGGGATGAGAAACTTTCTTGCTAGCTGGAGTTGTTATCCCACATTGGTTTCAGGGCTGTGTGGCTGCTGCTATTTTCCAGCATTCCCTCACTGGAAGTCACTCTGTTTTCTGCTCCTCTGCCAGGCAGTCTTCACTCCAGAAACTCAGGAGCCCCAGTATCCATCATGATACCAACCCCCTCTGAACTTGGAGAACGATGAGGTGCTTACAATTGGAGGAGAGACAGTACACCTGGAGGAACAGTGGGTGGTGGGGGAGGCAACGCCTCCTCTCTAACCCTCCCTTGTGGCCCCAGGACACCAAGTCTCTAGTCGTTCACCCAGTTAGTAACATCTAATGCAACTGTGCCTACCAGGAAAGAAAAATAGAACAAATACATATAACCACTACATAGAGGAGGTAGTCCTTGAAAACACAGAACAATGACAATACTGCCAGATAGTAATCTCTGTTTATTGAAAGCTTTATTGAGGTGTAACATTCATACCACAGAATCACCCATTTCAAGCATGGAATTTGGGCATGGGAAAATGACTGAGATGCTAAGAACCCCTGCTCAGCGTAAGGGCTCAGCATTGAATCCAGAATGGCTGTCTGTGTTTGTAACCTGGACATCATTGGGGCAGATTCAGATGGATCTCAAGAACTCTTTAGCAAAGCCAACCTAACCAAAATGGTGATATGATATTTCAGTTCAGTGAGAAAGACTGTCTTAAGCTCATAAAGTAGACAGCAATAAAGAAAGGTCCCAATGTCCTGATTTGGGCTTCATGCATGTGTGCATGGGCACAGGTACTTGCATACTGAAGCCTATCCACAACATATACATATAACACATACACACTAACACACACAGAGATGGGGGTGGGGGAGGGTAGGAGGGAGGGAAGGAGGGAGGCAAGGAGGGAGAGAGAGAGAGGGAGAGAGAGAGGGAGAGGGAGAGGAGAGAGAGAGAGACAGAGACAGAGACAGACAGAGACAGAGACAGAGAGCTCCTTTAATAGGAGAAAGGGAAACATGCCCAGGGAGTAGGGTCAAAGGGTATGCCTGGACCGTATATGTGGGGACACGGAAGGACTGATAAAGAGCCAGTCTGGAAGGCAGATAAGAACTTCATGACGGGGCCTTGTAGGATAGGCTAAGACACTAAGATTTGCCATTTTGCCTTATTTTTGGTTGATGCTGGGTGAATCCAACACATCAGATTTACCGTTTAAAAATAATGCTTGGGGCTTTCATAGCAATGGAAAAAGATGGCTGAGTGGAGCGGCGCGCCTGGCAGAGAGATTGGAACCAGAGATGCAGCAGCAGCTCCAGGTGTGGGACCCTGGCTGCCGCAGACACAGGACTATGTTTTCAGCCCGCCAGGAGGCCCGGCCACCATGCTTCTGTGAGAATACAGGCAACACAAACTGGACCTGGTGTATTTTTTTTCTTCCTGTTTTTGGGGAGATTGCAAGAATGGGAGAGTGTACCTGGGAGGAAAAGGAAGTGAGTGTGATCAGGATGAGTTGTATGGAATTCCCAAACAATTAATAAAAATATCACATTGTCTAAAAAAACCTCAACTATACAATTTGATGATTCTCAGTAAGGTCATATAGCTACACAGCCATCACAACACGTTGATTCTACCTGAGTCCTAACATCCCTACAAGAAGTACCATGTCCGTTCACAGTCTCACCTGCATCAGCCTCTAGTGCACCTGTTGTGTAGCTGTGTGTATTCCAGATATATATCTCCTACCAGGGAATCATGTAACATAATTCTCTAGCTATGGTGTCTTCTACATGTGTGTTGTAGATATGCTGCTACCCCATTCCTTGCTCTGGTCACACAATGTTTATTGCAGTGTTTCGACTTTACACATTTGCTTATCCACCCGTCACCTGATGGGCATGGAGGTTGCTCCACATTCTGCTTGTTGTGAACGATGCTGCTGTGAACACTCATGGACAGCAATTTTTAATCAGAAGTCTTCATCAGAAACTGCACCTGACACCTTCACCGTGTCTGTCTGACACTTGCCTATAAAGATCTTGAATCTCCCATTGAGTCCCACCATTTGACTCTCTTTCTCAGTATCGTTGTCCAGTGATTTCATCTCTCATTCTTTTGCAACGGAACCAACCTGCCCATTCATCCTTCATAACGCCTTGTAAAATCCACTAGTCCTTGTGTGGAGTACCTGACTTCAGAAGCCTCCCACCTATCAGAACATTGACATCATCAGGCCCCGCTGCCTATCCTAGGAGGTACAGTGCAAAGACCCATCTCCAGGATATGGAGACACAAAGTAGTGCCTAGTTCATAATGGTTTTTAGGTATAAAAATCAGAATACAGATAGGGTAGTCATTAAGTCAAACCGGCCATATAATCTCTGTTTTGTAGATAACTAGGCAGCTTGGACTTACTTAGAAATGATGGTTGGGTGAAGAAGATTCAATTTTAGGTATTATTATATTTATTATTATTATTGATGATAATGAACCCAGGGATTTGCACGTTAGGCAAATAGCTTCCCTATGCTCTACAAGTTTTTGTTTTATTTAATTTTATGTACACCTGTATGTTGGTTGCTCAGGCTGACTGCTGTGGTCCACTGGCTGGCCCACCTCAGCTTCTCACATGAGGGGTCTGCTGGTCTACACCACAGAGCCTGGCATTCAATGCTGCTGTAGAAAGGGGAAACTACCCATTTATAACCAGAATGCACTTAAAGTTAGGCAGTGTTTTTATAAAATAGTGTAGATACCTTCTTGTTTATTTAGACCACATGGCAGTACACATTTCCTCCAGGGAAAGGTAAAATATCTGTATTTTCTAATGAAGACCTAGTAGGGAATTTCTGGCTGCCACATAGCATGACTTCCACACTTCAGGTGACTGGACTCAATAGATAAAGAAAAGGGAAGGGTGACTTTTAGTGTGCTCTTTCACAACTACACACACGAAACACATGGGCATACTAAAATTCCTCAATACAAGCACAGTTGCAAGTAACTTTCTTTGGAAGAACTCCTTAAAGTTCCCTAAACCAAGCAAACAATTTTGTTTCTAGTATCAGGAATAACTGCAAGGCTCCCCAGATGTGGAAAAGGAAAGAGCTAGTCACACAGACCCAACTCTGTAAGTTGAGGAAAAGCCTGTGTGTAAGCTCTAGGTTTGAGAATATCCAGGATATTTTCTCCGGTCATCCCCACTCCCTGTAGATTTCTACTTCCTGTAGAGGCAGTGTTCCAGAAGACAGTTTTTTTCCAGCAACTTGCCAGAGCCCAGTTCCTCCCATTTAAAAGGACATGGTGTCCTCCAGCCTCTTTAGGCTAATTAGGTCTTTAATTAGCTCCTTCAAAGGATGAGGTTGGACATTAACAGAGTGAGTTTCCCCTTTCCAGAGTTTCTGGCTGGTACAGAATCATGACTAACACCAAAGGAAAGCGTGAAGTCTGATTTTTCCATATTGTCCCACCCTGTCATCTACCTTTTGTCATCCTCACCTGGCCCCTCATCTGTGATCAAACAAGGGCTTACCAGAGGAATTCAATCTCTCTCAGTTACAACCTAAAGGTTGTAGAATCATCTAGTTTGGAGTGTGAGTATCTGTTACTGAAGCAGAGCATCATGATTGTGATGATTGTTCAAAGAAGAATCCAACTCTGTGTCTCTTAGACAGTCCTTCTCAGGGATGCTGCCAATGACTGGACCCATCTTTTGACCAGAATCCCTCCTTAGGGGTTCCCTGTGTGATGGGTTGTTTAAAATCTATTTCTGCATGTCATTGGGCTGCTTTGCCTCAATCTCAGTTGACTGACACAATGAGTCCCACCTGTGAAGCTGCCTGGAGGCACAACTCTTTTGTAGTTGTGTCCCGGGGCCCCATGTGTGGAGTAACTTAAAGGGCACAGAAATGATTTTTCCTTGTGATGTGGCAGTGATGATGATGCTCCCTTCTAAGGAATCCTTATAATTTGTCCAACTATATTTTCCATGTCTTTTCTCATTCTTCCTTCATTGCATCATGGTTTAGAACAACAGGGTCTCTCCAGAGCAGTTGGTCTGGACAGTGGAAGAACACATGATGTTTGTGTTTTTTTAAAGAAGGTTCTACGCCAAAATGTTTGTACACTTACATTTTATTAATTAATTAATTAATTATTATTGTGGATGTGTGCAAGATGTGTACCTATGGGTATGCATGCCACAGTAAATGCATGGAGGATAGAGGACAATTTTCAGAAGTCTTCTAACCATGAGAGCTTAATATCATGTAGCGAGAGTAGATGGACCCAATATTTCAATGTTTTGCTTGACTGAGCTATTAAACTCCCTCAAAAGAATTGGCCTTTTATGAGTATGCTTCACTATCTTAAGTGTTCAGAAACGGACTTCAGTATAGACCACGTCATTAACTGGAGCTACTTTTTTAGTAAAATTGGATCTGTATGCTATTTGTTTTGTTGCTATGACAAAATTTCGGTCAAGAAGCTATTTAAGGAAGGAAAGGTTTGTTCTGGCTTACAGGTTGAGGGGATACATTCCATCATGGCTGGGAAGGCGTGCAGTGAGAGCAGGAGAGCCACTGGACACATTGTAGTCAAGAAACAGAAAATGATCTGCAAGTGAGGCCACGCCCTCAAACCTCAAGGCCTACCCACCAAGGACCCAGTTCTTCAGGTCAAGTTCCATCTGCTAAATGTTCCACAACCTTTGACAACATCACCACTGGCTGAGGACCAAGTGTTCAAACCTGTGCTAGACATTTCACATGCAGATCACAGTAATCTACTATAAATGGGGAATGTCCTTCCCAAAGCCCAAATGGGAACCCCGTCCCCAAGATGATGATATTTGAAGATGGTAACTGTGTTGTGAGAGTGGAAATCTCTGAGTAGGACTAGAGCCTTTATGAAGAAGAGACACCAGAGAGCTTACTCCCTCTCTCTGCCCTCAGTCAGGTGGGAACACAATGCCAATATGGCCACCTGTAAACCAGGATGTGGGCCCTCACCAAACACCGTCTGGTGACACGCTGAGCCTGAGTCCCCAAGATTCCAGAACCGTAGGAAGTGAATGCCTTCTGTTTCACTATATGGCATTCTGTTGAAGAACCCTGAGCTAAGACTGTGTGGTGGAGCTGGTGAATTTCCTGTGGGTAGTGTGCTGTTCATGGAGGGAATAGCCAAATCTCAAGCAGTCTCTACTTGAGATACTTAGGAGAGACTGATGCCAGCTCAGGACACACACCAAAGGGAGCTGGAGACCTGAGAGGGCATAAAAGTTTTGAAACCCCATGCTTCCACAAACCTCATGTAGCTCAGGTGGTCAAAGCTCAGACATGAACAATCAATACACCGAGTCTGCTTTTTCTTCACCCTCTAAGTTCTTCCGGGAACTTACTGCATCTTTCCTCACTTTGACTGATTTTGTGATTCTGGTTCCTTTAGGAAGTTTCACAATTTACCAAAGTCCTTCTTAAATAAACTATAATCTCGACAAAAACTATTCTCAGAGTCATCTCTTCCTAACCCCTGTGATCAGACACTGGTTTACGAACGGTTTTATTCTCACTGGTGGTTTTTTGCTGTTGTTATTTTGTTTTTTAACTCACTGCATAGTTTTGCTTTGGGAAGACAAGGCAGTCATGCATATATTTGGTTTCAAGAATTCTGGGCAAGTTTTACTTCTAACTAACAGGAAGCTTTAATGAGAACTAGGCTGTGGGGTAACATGATGTATCTGGCAGGCATTTCTAGCGAAGGCTGCAAAGCTCCCCACTTACAAGTTTTACAATTTATTTATTGTAGGGGAGAGGTGCATTTGTGCCAAGGCTTGCATGTGGATACCAGAGGACACCTTGATGGTGTCAGTTCTCTTCTGTCTCTGTGTGAGTCCCAGGGATTGAACTCAGGTCATCAGGCTTGGTGGCAGGCACTTTCACTCACCAAGCCATCTCACTGGCCCCATGTGTTGGGTCACCAAGAAAAGAAGATAACTCACTACTCTGTCTCCCAACAATCTGTGAGAGGCCCAGCCTCTCCTTTCCCTTCAGACTTTGCTCCCCAGAGTCTCATTGGCTGTGTCTCTATCTTAGTTCAGGCCAGGGGTCCAGGTTTTCTGAGCAGAGACCAGAGGCTGCTTATTTTGCCTAAAGAAAATCCCTATCCACCCCTCTTCCCCACTCCTGTGTGTGTGTGTGTGTGTGTGTGTGTGTGTGTGTGTGTGTGTGTTCATTCATTCCAAGTATCCTTTTTAGGATGAGCACTTGCCTCATTGTTTCCCTAGAAGTGACTAAAGAAACCAGGCTAACCTTGTTTTGTTACTTTGAGACAGAGTCTTCCTAAATAGGCTGGCCTCAAACTTACTATTAGCACAGGCTAGCTTTGATCTTGTGCACCTGCTTCATTATCTATCATGCTGGCATTACAGACCGTGCGGTGGCGCCCACTAGACTTGACAGCAGGTTCGTCTCAAAGCAGGAGCGTTTAGATGAACTATCAGGCAGAGCTGTACCCTGCAAGCTTCTGGCCTCCCTCCTGCCTGTGGTGGTATTTTCTATGTTGCCTGCAGGTGGGAAGATGAACTGCTTGCTCCCCGTTTCTGTCAGTTTCTGGCATACAGCTCTGTAATTTCTTTCTGGGTATGGTTTCTATTTTTAGAGCAGCAGAAAGATTTGATTCCAGAGACAGATAGGAGAGCTCCACATGGGTGAAACACTAGGGCAGGAATTCTTAGTATGAGGTCCCGGGGCTTTACCAGAGGTAGAGGCCTGTGGGTGTCTGTTTGAGAGTGAGTATTCACAGACAACATCAACCTCCCAAGAGGGCTTATGGTTAAAAACAGACAAACCCTGAAGATAACCAGTAGAGGGTCACTGCCTCAGTGAAGAATACGCTAGTGATTAACTAATTGATCCAGACTGCACAGGTCTAGGGTAGATCAAGACCACTGACCACCCTTGAATTGGGAATCTTCCGCTGGTCTCAGTCTTTCAAAAATGGGGTAGTTGACTTGCAACTCCTGCTTAATAGTGACAAAGGGTCAGATATTAACGAGGCATTTTATTAGACTCTCACCTGGTGTTTCGTCAGAAATAAATGAGCCATTTTGCTCATGTGCAGAAGAAACTGAGCTTGGCCCACATGAGCCTTTGCAACCAATGGCTGGAGCTAGCTTGTAGACCACCCTAGCACAGGGGTGGCTGTGCCTGGCAGCCAGAGCCTGGTTCCCCTCCATCCCAGCTAGCTTCCTCAGTAGCTTCCTTGGGTCCAAGGCTACGACCCTCAGCTTCACATGACCCCATGGCTAGGCACCACAGCTTTGCTGAGAGCGGGTGCTCTCCAGAGCTGTGTAGTTTTCACTTCTTCCCACACTCATCTTTTTAGAAGACGATTTGCTTTATTTCTAATTGTCTGTGTGTATGTGTGAGAAAGAGACAGAACAATAGAAGACCAATATGAACCATAACAACAGAAACCTCAGCACCTGTGTTCCCTGTCTGGGAGGAAAATTCCATTCTGAGTCACCAGCAGGCAGCTCTGGCCTTGCTCCCATCTCCCAAGCTGGGACTCTCCAGGCTCTTCCTCCCCCACTGGCTGCCTGGAGCTGCTGGAGACCAGGGACCTTCATATTACATAGAGCCTCTCTGTCAAATTCCTGTCCCTTTCTGCTCATCACACTATGGCCCCTCTTCTGAGTCCTGTCAGCCGCCTTCCGATTCTTTGTCTTCGTGGCCCCAGACATCTCTAAGGCAGAGCAGAACTTCCCTCATTCTACATAAAGAAGCTGGGTGCCAAACCTATTGTTCTCTGGCTCAGCCACTAGTGCCGTGGATTACAGCCAAGGGAACATACAAAATTGTGAAGGTGCATTTCCACTGGCCGTCCCCACACATGTTCCATTCGCTTCACAGCCCCTACGATTGCCTTAGATAATGGAGTCCAGGGAGATGAGCGCTTCCTTCCCATTCTGAAGTGAAATCAAGTCACATTCCCTAGATTGGTTTGCTCATCTGGAATTCATGTTCCCAGAAGCAGTGTAATACCCAGGCAGTCATCAAAGCCTAACTCACGCTGGGCTGGAATTAGAATCCTCCAACTTCGTGATTTCAGCGCTGTCTACTGAAAATAATGTTGCTTGTTATGTGGCCCGAATGTGACTTGCGTACAGGAACACATCTCCTGGAACCCACACTGGAGGCCGGTGGGTGAGAGCATGGGATATGGGAAGGGGCCGCAGGTAAGGGAGAGGGTCTTAAAAAATGTTCATGGGCTCCTGAGACCCACATTCTTTATCCTGTGTGAAAGGAACCAGCAGTCCGGAGGCACCAGAAATGGAGTGAGGGAGAGGAGAGGAGATGAAGGCTTGTTGTCAGGACGTGGCCCACATTCACATGGCCTCTCCTTCAACCATCTCAACACCAGGACGTGAAGCATTTCCCACTTTGAGGGAGTACCACCTGGCTTCTTTAGTACTCCTGACAGGTGTCCAGCGGGTCCTTCCGGAGTGGCAATCTGTCCCTTTTTTCTGTTATGCAAATGTGCTCACCCTGTTTTACAGAGAGGCTCAGAGATGAGAGATGGCCCTTCTGCAGCAAGCTTCTGTCACAGATGTATTGAAAAGGCCACGGAGCGTCTCCGAGGGACAGCGAGTGCGGGCCTGCTATTCTCAGCAGTCTTCCAAGCTTGCCTTCCTTCTATACAGAGGCCCCGCCCGCCTCTGTTGCTGAGGCCGGCATGGCGCTCCTTTGTACTTCTGAGCTCTCTGCCTTTGATAAGTGGCCTTTGCCCAGCTCAGAAGCACTTGAAAAAGCTAGACTGTCACAAGAAGATGGGTGGCAGGAGGGCAGGTGTCAGTACAGTGTTTTACTCTCCACAGCATCTGTGTTACTTCTTTCCAAGAAGAGACCAGGGGCCATGCTTTTAGCTCAGTGGTAGAGACTAGCTTAGCACCATTGAGTCTCTCTGGCAGCAAAACCAACCAAATGATACCAAATTTCAATTGTATTCAGTGGGAGCATTTTGCTCACAGCCAAACCATTGACGAATGAAGCAGGTTCTTTGTTTGTTTGTTTTAAGACTTGTGGGAAAGCCAGGAGGTTTGGAAAACCAGAGCACTGAGTTAATTATGTCTCCTGTACAAATCTGTCAACATTCCTCTCGCATTAAAACCACTCTCCTCTGCTGCTGCTGGTATTGGTGGTGTTAACCCATTGTGACCCTCGGGAGGGAGGGAAGCCGGCTTCGGCTTCGGATGGCTCATCCAAATGCACAATAGACAGAGATGGAATGACAAATGGCTTGGAAAAATGTGGCCTAAGGGGAGGGAGAGCTGTTAAGGCGAGGCTGCAGCCCATCACTGTCTCCTTTGAGCAGCCTGTCTGTCCTGAATCAAAACTGCAGATTCTCAGGGTTAGGGAAAACCTTGGCAGCTCCTGGTCTCCACCCCATCCTTTATGCGCCCCGCCCCCATCCTCCCCATTCTGCTTGGCAACACAGAAGCTGAGGGAACTCTCACTGTCAGAAAGGACTTGCAAATGAGGGGACATTGTCATCTATTAGCTGCCACCTTTTGGATGGGGGAGGTAGGGGAGGGGGGAAGGGGTGGAGGGGTGGGGGTGGTTCTCATTAGTGGCAGCCTCTGAGGGCATCAGGTAGAACCATAACAGATGACCTTTGTTCCTTTATGACTCTCTAGAGGGTGTGTGCATTCCCTAACCCTAAGCCTGCTGTTCCCTGTAGGGTTTCTGACCCAGAGCAGACATCAACAGCATCTACTCTCTTGTCAACTACCAGTGTGTGCAGTGCAGCAACAGCTCAGTGTCAGCTAAGACCTTAGGAAAAACCCAGAACCTTACTTCCGACCTGCTGGCTCACAGTATGCGCTCATTTCCATACATTAATGCTACGAAACGGTGAGTTTCAAATTTACACATTTATATTTTTAAAGAGGGATCTAAGGTATTCCGGGCTGGCATCCAGCTTGCTGTGTAACCATGACTAACCTTGAATTTCTGATCCTCCTGCCTCAACCCACCTAGTGCTGGAATTACAGGAGTGACTAATTAATTTTATGTTGTATGGAGGATTGAACTCAGGGCTTTATGCATGCTAGGTGATCACTCTACCAACTCTGATTCTTCCTCAGCCCTAGAATCCATATTTGTAACATGATTCTTAGTTGGGGTCAACCTTGGAGATCTCTGGACATTTCCCTAGTGCCAGATTTCTCTTTAAAACTATAATGGCTTCCTCTATTATGGGATCTCTCATCCTGCTCTCCTCTATTCTTCCCCCAACTCAATCTTCCTGTTCCCTCATGTCCTCCTCTCCCCTCCTCTTCTCCCCTTCTCTATGCCCTAACTGCCTCTCCCCTTCCCCTATGCTCCCAATTTTCTCAGGAGATCTCGTCCCTTTTCCCTTCTCCAGGAGACCATGTATGTCTTTCTTAGGATCCTCCTTGTTTCCTAGTTTCTTTGGCGGAGTGGGCTGTAGGCTGGTAATCCTTTGCTCTGTGTCTAAAATCCATATATTAGTGAGTACATACCATGTTTGTGTTTTTGTGACTGGGTTACCTCACTCAGGATGGTTTCTTCTAGTTCCATCCATTTGCTTGTGAATTTCAAGATCCCATACTTTTTTTTTTTTTCTGCTGAGTAGTACTCATTGTATAAATGTACCACATTTTTTTTATCCATTCTTCAGTTGAGGGGTGGTTGTTTTCTCAGCCTGGCTTTTATAATTATTTTATTATTTGTATTTATGTTTTGCCTGCATGTATGCTTGAGCACCATGTGGATGTCTGGTGCCAAGGAGGCCAGGAGAAGAGAGCATCAGATGCCTGGAACAGGAGTTAGAGAGTTGTGAGCTGCCCTGTGGGACCTAGGAATTGACCCAGGTCCTCAGGAAGAGAGGCAAGTACTCTTAACCACTGAGCTATTTCTCCAGCATCTTCAACCTGGTTTTCACTCATATTCTTTTTCCTTTTTGTTGTTGCTTTTGGATTTTGGGGTTTTGAGACAGCTTTGGCTGTCCTGCAACTCACTCTGTAGATCAGGCTGGCCTTGAACTCACAGAAATCCACCTGCCTCTGTCTCCTAAATGCTAGTATCAAAGGTGTGCACCACCATGCCTAGCTTTCCCATGCATATTCTTATAGCCACTTTTATCCATGAACCCACGAGGGGAAGAATATATTTTCTTATCTGTGGTTTAAAACCTTACATACATGGCAAGTTCTGTTCTGAAGGATGATTTTTGTGGGGTGGGGTTGGTTATCTCTCTCTCTTTTTTAATTTAAATTAGAAACAATCTTATTTTACATATCAATCCGGGTTCCCTCTCCTTCCCATCTTCCCATGCCCCCCTGAAGGGTGACTTTTTTATCTTTTTTTTTTTTGATTCTTTGTGGATTTCACATCGTGCATCCTGACCCCATTCACCTCCTTGTCTCTTCATATCCTCCTCTGTCCTTGAAACCTACCCACAAAAATTAAATAACATTTAAACAAAAAACAACAAAAAAGAAACAAAAACCAAACAAACCAACTAACATACAAAAAAAGAAAAGAGTCGGTAGTGTGGTGACACATTATACAAAGGGTGATTTTTTCATTAGTGTTGTTTTTAGATTTCTTTCATGTTAATCTGCATGCATCTAGCTTATTATTTTACCCAGTGTAGGTTTTCAACATGTATGGGTAGGAGTTTCCATTCACCCATCATGGTTGACTCCCATATTTTCCCATTGTAAACATGGCAACAGTGAACATCCTTGTATTTCTGCCATCTTTGATCATCACTCTGAAACCTTTGACTAGAGCCTAATGCATAAAACATCGGACATATCAACAAACAATTATCAAGCTTTGCTGATCTTAGAGTCAAAAAATGGAAGCAGGGAATTTTAATTAACTTCCCCAGATTTGCAAGTAGACTTGATCTGTAGCATGAAGAATTGTCAGTTCAGCTTGGAGTCAACATATTTGCTCAAGAAGACATGGCTAATAAGGCAAGGCAGGAGGTGATAAGCATGTAATTAGAAGTGCCATCAGTGCAGTTAGAGCTTGCATGGTGCAGATTTGTGGTGAAGTGATCAGGAGGCAGAAGGTGTCTGGATCTTGATAATTAAGTAGGATTTCATCAGGCAAGCAGGGGGGGGGGGATAGTCAAGACATGGTTAATAATGAACATAAGTAAAAAGGCAGGAACACATATGTAATGAGCATGGTAAAATGCTCACTTTAGACATGTGAAAATGGCTTAGTCAGGATCCCCACTACACTCAAGGATGCCCCTGATAGCTAGGACCCACTCAAGATAACCAGACACAGTCATAGACCCCATGACTCCCACTAAACAGTATATAAGCAGAGACCAAGAGTAAAGCTGTGCTCTACACATCTGGAGATGTCACCTTGATCCACCCTGCAGCTGGAGAATCTCCCCCAGGATTCTGACCCTCAAATCAGACTTTTGTTAGATACCGGACCTCATTTAAGATACATCACACAGATGAACAGCCTTAGGGAGGTAGGCTTAGGACCATAGGTAGGAACTTAGAGTGTGAACCTTGTGTGATGATCCTCAGCATAAGAAAATGTAACTTTTGGTATGCTAACTACATGTATCTACCTTCTTGATGGCAACAATGTGAGGGATGGGCTTTGGGGAAAGGGAGGCACCAGGACTCCATATTGCTCCTGCTCCAGGAAGAGTTACGCATCACAGATTTGGTCAGATTTTAGACCAATGGCAAATCCATGCTCTGACAGTGGACCAGGAATATTGGATCGTCTAAGATGGTGAACTGGCTACGGCACTCTCTTCATTTCCTCTCTGGACAGCCCGCTGTGTGGGGCAGAGATGGTTTTGCCTTGAGGAAATCAACTTGAGCCTTTCTCTTTGGTCGCTGCGCTTGGGTCCTCTGCTCACCACTCTTATGTTAGTGATGGGTGCTAAACTTCCATTTGGGACTTGGAAGAGAAAAATGCTGCATGTTGGTCTGTTCTCAGCTCAAGCTCCGCTCATGTCTCATAATCAATGCCCACCTATAATTCTAGATAGCAGGCAGAGAGATTTGAGGTAGAAGTTACAAAAAAAATTGACCTGAAAGGATAGGTTTGGGTAGATTGCTATGAATGTAGATGCCAGACTGATGGCATGGAGCACTGAACACCAGTGTTTGGTCTATGAAGTCCAGTCTCAATTAAGAGGCAGCAAGCTTACAGGCTACAGAAGAGATCAGATATGCAACCAATTAAAACTTTACTTCTAAAAGAAGAAATGAAAAAATAAAAGACAAAAAGTAGCTATGAGGATTTTCCAGACTTGGTAAATGATATGGAGAGAAGTATAAAGATATTTGATTTTCAATAATTGTTAATGATTAAATCTATGTATTGTGGATGTTTTTTGTCTGATGTATGTTCATGTACCATGTGAATGCTTGATACTTGAAGAGACCAGAAGGCATCAGATCCTCTAGGTTCATAGAGCATTGTGGGTGCTGGGAACTGACCCTTGGTCCCCTGGAAGAACAGCACTCTTAACTGCTGAAGTACCTCTCCAGACCTGAGAAATAGTTCAGTGCTTTCCTTTTGGATAACAGATAGAAAAATAACCAAGGATGCCTGAGGCTCTTTGCTATTACATTTAAACTGCTTGTCAGTCACTCTTCATTAGGCTGTGAGTAATGTAAGCCTGGGGCAGGTAGGGAGACATGGAGTAATGCTGAGTGGAGAAGTGTCTGCAGCATTGTCTAGTCATTTGCATATTTCACCGAGAATGGTTACCCTTATTGCATGCTGGTTGTGCCTGTTAAACTCCTTTCAACACTTTGTAATATAGAATCATTCATTTAGTCCTTACAGCAAGCAATGAGGTGGGTACCATTGCTATTCTAATTTTGTCAATGGAGAAACTTCAACTCAGAGAGTTTTCATGCTTGGCTCGGGTCACAAAGCAAGTAAGTGGTTCATTGGCCATAGGCATTCAGGTAGTCCAGCCTCAGAACCAGCTCTTAACTGTGTTCCTTTAGTCTAATACTCAGGAAGCTTTGAAAATTACATGAAACATGCATAATAACTGCTAACGATAACTGTCTGCCCTGGATGACATCACAAAATTGAAAAAAATGTAGTTTTTTAAAAAAATGAGATGACCAGAAGAAAATGATTCCTTCTTTTTCTTCCTCTTTCCTCCACACACCCTTTCTTTCCTTCCTTTTTTCCTTCACCCACTTCTCCTTAGCCTCCTCCTCATCATTTACCACCTCATCCTCTTCCTTTTTTTGAGACTGGGTTTCATGTAGCCCTGGCTGGGTCAAACTTGTGTAGCCAAGGATAGCCTCGAATTCCTGTTTCTCCTGCTTTACCCTCTCAGCCTATTCTGTAATCTCATCTTTCAGTAAATGTAGATGATGAATCAAGAGAGGTTAAGAGAAGTTATATCCTATTATTTCTTCATCTGCAAAAGCCATTGGAAGTCCTCCTTTGCCCTGCAAGCCTGGAGTATAATGATGTTGTGTAACAATTTCCTCCCAACGTAAGCATTCCATTCACTGCCAGAATTCAGGAGGCTGAGGCAGGACAATATCCGTGAAGTAGAGGCAAGCCTGGTTTGTGTAGAAAGTTCTGGATAAACCAGAGCTACATAGTGAGACTGTGTTTCCAAAACAACAACAAAACAAAACATTCCACAGCACTGGGAAGTTCTTTAAGACTTAAGAAGTTTAAGGGTGGGGAGCATTAAGACTCAAAAATTAAACATCTCAGAAGACTCAGGAAGTCCCTGAAGCTTACCAGAGTCACAAGACCCCTCCCTCCATAAGGTTATATAAGCAATAAGGCCTTCTGAAGAGAAGTGACTCTCAAACTTGCCCAGTTGATTGCAAGTTGTGCAGAGAGTGACAGCT